AGACGCGATACTCAATCTGAAAAGATGAAAAAGACTGAGCTGCTTTCAAATGCTAATCAAATGAGCACAGAAGACTAATGCAGAGAATTAATAAGAATGTGGTTTTGGCTCTTCTTACTTTGACAAGTTCTGTGTTTCTCCTGTTCCAGTTGTACTATTATAAGTACTACTTATCTCCAAAGGTAAATAAAATAATTTTAAACACCTGAATTTGGTGAAAAAACGTAATAGAAATAGTATTTAATATGCTCAAAGTACAGGACAAACATTAACACATGATTAATTAGTTAATAATTAATTGTAAAATTATTACTCAAAACATCCCTGTGGGTATTTTAATATCTGATCCTACCTCATATTCACTGGCATTCACTACGTTGGACAAGTCACTACTAATCTTGGTGAAAATCAAAATGAAGTCACTAAGCACCTCTGTCATTTCCACATTTTCTATTACTATTTTCCCTCCCTCATTGAGTAATGGTCCTCCCCTGTCCTTGGACATCCTCTTGCTTCTAATGTATTTGTAGTATGTTTCCTTGTTATCCTTTATGTCTCTAGGTAGTTTGATTTCATTTTGTGCCTTGGCCTTTCCAATTTTGTTCCTATATACTTGTTATTTGTTTATATTCATCCTTTGTGATCTGACCTTGTTTCCACTTTTTGTTGGATTCTTTTTTGACTTTTTTTTAAGGTAATTGAAGATCTCCTGGAGAAGCAAGGGTTGTCCCTTGCCATACTTCCAATCTTTCCTACACAGTAGGCCAGTTTTCTCTTGTGCCCTTAATAATGTCTCTCTGAAAAACCGCCACCTCTCTTTAACTGTTTTTTCCTCTGAGACTTGCTCTGGGATCTCGCCTACCAAATCCCTGAATTTGCTAAAGTCTGCTTTCTTCAAATCCACTGTCTTTATTAAGGATGTTAAATTGTGGTTAATTGACTAGTCAATGGAATTTCCATCAACTGCTCGACTAGTAAATAGGTATTTCTGCATTCCTCCTTTGAAATGTATCTGATGTATCCTTTCTATCTATCTGATAGAAGCAGCAAGGTGGGGCGGGAGTCGACTAGTCCTTAACATCCTTAGTCTTTATTTTTAACTTTTTCTTCCTCCTATTGTTCCTTAGAATCATGAACTTTATCAATTCATGAACACTTTCACCCAAGCTGCCTTTCACTTTCAAAATCCGAACCAGTTCCTCAGTATTTGTCAACATTAAATCTAGAACAGCCTCCCCCTCCACTGTAGCTTTCTCCATCTCCTGAAATAAAAAATGTTTCTGGTAATTCCAAAAACTTGTTGGATAACCTGTGCCCTGCTGTGTTATTTTCCTAATTGATGTCTGGGTAGTTGTTCCCATCACCACCAAGTTCTGTGCTTTGGATGATTTTTTTAGCAGTTTAAAGAAAAGCCTCATTCACCCCTTCTTCCTGGTTTGGTGGTCTGTAGTAGACTCCTACAATAACATCATCTTTTTTTAAATCCCTTATCTCGAGATGTTCATTAAGGCTGTCTCCTATTTCCATCTCAACTTCAATCCAAGTGTATACATGTTAATATATAAAGCAACACCACTTCCCTTTTTTCCTCTCCCTTTTTTCCTCTCTCTGTCAGTGACTATGTCTACACTCATGGCGTCTTGCATGAGAAATATGCAAATGAGGCTCAGCGTGGAATATCACCGAGTCTCATTTGCATACCTAATGAGCTGCCATTGTTGCAGAAGAGGCTCTTGCACCAGAAGGTGCTGTCTACACTGCCCCTTCTTGCGCAACAAAAACCCTCTTGAGCAATGCCATTCGTCCTTAAAATATTGCGCAAGAGGGTTTTTGTTGGGCAAGAAGGGGCAGTGTAGACAGCTCCTTCTGGTGCAAGAGCCTCTTCTGAAAAAATGGAATCTGTAGTCTGCTGTACCCTTCTATATCAATATTCCAGTTGTGTATTACCCCACCAAGTCTCTGTGATGCCTGCTATGTCATAGTTGTGTTTATTTACTAGCATTACAGGTTCTTTGTGCTTATTTCCCATACTGCTCACAGTAGTATACAGGCATCTTAAGATTCTGATTTGATTCACTCCATCCTTCCCCCTCCCCAGTTCTCTCCTTTATCCTTGCTGTAACAACCCACTATCTCTCCAAAGTCTGACCCTTCTCTCTGGTCTCCATATTTTTGATCTACCTATAGGCTTTTGTCACTTGCCCCCTTCAAACCTAGTTTAAAGCCCTCCTCACTTGATTAGCCAGTTTGCATATTATATTTAAATATTTTTAATAGCAAAATGGTCTCAATAAAAAAAAATCCTCTCCCCAACCAGAGAGTCTTTTTAGGTAGTCTTTTATTTAAGTTGGCATTTCTTCCCCTTCAGTAGGTAAGTGTTACTTATTAAACATGATATTGCACTCTGATGGAATTCTCATTCCAGTAGCTTTCCTAGATGTCTTGCTTATATAGTTAGGATTGCTTTAGATTGGCTGTAGTTTGCAGAGATTTTATTTATTTATTTAAAATATATTTTTTCAAAGATAAGACTGAGAAACCCAGCAGTCTCACTAATTAGCATCCATTTCATGTGGATTTACTCATTATTTACGTTACTTTTTTTATTCTGTAAGTATGTTCACACAATTTACAGTAGTTTGTTAGTTTTTCAGAACTGTTGTATATTTTAATATCTGATCCTACCTCATATTCACTGGCATTCACTACGTTGGACAAGTCACTACTAATCTTGGTGAAAATCAAAATGAAGTCACTAAGCACCTCTGTCATTTCCACATTTTCTATTACTATTTTCCCTCCCTCATTGAGTAATGGTCCTCCCCTGTCCTTGGACATCCTCTTGCTTCTAATGTATTTGTAGTATGTTTCCTTGTTATCCTTTATGTCTCTAGGTAGTTTGATTTCATTTTGTGCCTTGGCCTTTCCAATTTTGTTCCTATATACTTGTTATTTGTTTATATTCATCCTTTGTGATCTGACCTTGTTTCCACTTTTTGTTGGATTCTTTTTTGACTTTTTTTTAAGGTAATTGAAGATCTCCTGGAGAAGCAAGGGTTGTCCCTTGCCATACTTCCAATCTTTCCTACACAGTAGGCCAGTTTTCTCTTGTGCCCTTAATAATGTCTCTCTGAAAAACCGCCACCTCTCTTTAACTGTTTTTTCCTCTGAGACTTGCTCTGGGATCTCGCCTACCAAATCCCTGAATTTGCTAAAGTCTGCTTTCTTCAAATCCACTGTCTTTATTAAGGATGTTAAATTGTGGTTAATTGACTAGTCAATGGAATTTCCATCAACTGCTCGACTAGTAAATAGGTATTTCTGCATTCCTCCTTTGAAATGTATCTGATGTATCCTTTCTATCTATCTGATAGAAGCAGCAAGGTGGGGCGGGAGTCGACTAGTCCTTAACATCCTTAGTCTTTATTTTTAACTTTTTCTTCCTCCTATTGTTCCTTAGAATCATGAACTTTATCAATTCATGAACACTTTCACCCAAGCTGCCTTTCACTTTCAAAATCCGAACCAGTTCCTCAGTATTTGTCAACATTAAATCTAGAACAGCCTCCCCCTCCACTGTAGCTTTCTCCATCTCCTGAAATAAAAAATGTTTCTGGTAATTCCAAAAACTTGTTGGATAACCTGTGCCCTGCTGTGTTATTTTCCTAATTGATGTCTGGGTAGTTGTTCCCATCACCACCAAGTTCTGTGCTTTGGATGATTTTTTTAGCAGTTTAAAGAAAAGCCTCATTCACCCCTTCTTCCTGGTTTGGTGGTCTGTAGTAGACTCCTACAATAACATCATCTTTTTTTAAATCCCTTATCTCGAGATGTTCATTAAGGCTGTCTCCTATTTCCATCTCAACTTCAATCCAAGTGTATACATGTTAATATATAAAGCAACACCACTTCCCTTTTTTCCTCTCCCTTTTTTCCTCTCTCTGTCAGTGACTATGTCTACACTCATGGCGTCTTGCATGAGAAATATGCAAATGAGGCTCAGCGTGGAATATCACCGAGTCTCATTTGCATACCTAATGAGCTGCCATTGTTGCAGAAGAGGCTCTTGCACCAGAAGGTGCTGTCTACACTGCCCCTTCTTGCGCAACAAAAACCCTCTTGAGCAATGCCATTCGTCCTTAAAATATTGCGCAAGAGGGTTTTTGTTGGGCAAGAAGGGGCAGTGTAGACAGCTCCTTCTGGTGCAAGAGCCTCTTCTGAAAAAATGGAATCTGTAGTCTGCTGTACCCTTCTATATCAATATTCCAGTTGTGTATTACCCCACCAAGTCTCTGTGATGCCTGCTATGTCATAGTTGTGTTTATTTACTAGCATTACAGGTTCTTTGTGCTTATTTCCCATACTGCTCACAGTAGTATACAGGCATCTTAAGATTCTGATTTGATTCACTCCATCCTTCCCCCTCCCCAGTTCTCTCCTTTATCCTTGCTGTAACAACCCACTATCTCTCCAAAGTCTGACCCTTCTCTCTGGTCTCCATATTTTTGATCTACCTATAGGCTTTTGTCACTTGCCCCCTTCAAACCTAGTTTAAAGCCCTCCTCACTTGATTAGCCAGTTTGCATATTATATTTAAATATTTTTAATAGCAAAATGGTCTCAATAAAAAAAAATCCTCTCCCCAACCAGAGAGTCTTTTTAGGTAGTCTTTTATTTAAGTTGGCATTTCTTCCCCTTCAGTAGGTAAGTGTTACTTATTAAACATGATATTGCACTCTGATGGAATTCTCATTCCAGTAGCTTTCCTAGATGTCTTGCTTATATAGTTAGGATTGCTTTAGATTGGCTGTAGTTTGCAGAGATTTTATTTATTTATTTAAAATATATTTTTTCAAAGATAAGACTGAGAAACCCAGCAGTCTCACTAATTAGCATCCATTTCATGTGGATTTACTCATTATTTACGTTACTTTTTTTATTCTGTAAGTATGTTCACACAATTTACAGTAGTTTGTTAGTTTTTCAGAACTGTTGTACCTTGTTATTAAAAGCAGATTTTGTCTATATTCTCTTCACTTAACTAATGACCTTCCTTTGCTCACAGAAAAGCAAAGACGCGATACTCAATCTGAAAAGATGAAAAAGACTGAGCTGCTTTCAAATGCTAATCAAATGAGCACAGAAGACTAATGCAGAGAATTAATAAGAATGTGGTTTTGGCTCTTCTTACTTTGACAAGTTCTGTGTTTCTCCTGTTCCAGTTGTACTATTATAAGTACTACTTATCTCCAAAGGTAAATAAAATAATTTTAAACACCTGAATTTGGTGAAAAAACGTAATAGAAATAGTATTTAATATGCTCAAAGTACAGGACAAACATTAACACATGATTAATTAGTTAATAATTAATTGTAAAATTATTACTCAAAACATCCCTGTGGGATTGACAATTATTACCATAAAATTGACATGTAAAAATTAAATTACCAAGGAAGATACAGTGAATAGGTATCATAGAATAGAAAACATTAGAATGTTACTCCCAATCCTGAGCTCTGACCACTCCATCAACAAGACAGAGCCTTTACCTATGAAATCAGATTTTGGATCTGATGAAGGGATTCCAGCCCATGAAAGCCTGTGCCCAAATACATTTATTAGTCTTTATGGTGCCATAGGACTCCTTGTTGTTTAGACACTGGATTGAACTACCACAATTCCAGATTTTGCTGCAGTTTTGAACTGTCTGGTACATCAGAGCCGCCTGACCCCCTCACTCCCCTTGCACTGCTGCCTCTGATAGAGAGGCAGAAATGTGGGGAGGGGGGGCAGCGGGAGACGGTACACTTTTTAAGCTTCTTGCCCCCCTGAACTGCTGTCTCTCTGTCAGAGGCACTGGGGTGGCGAGAGGCAGGCAGAAGCTGATATTCAGGGGAGCCAGCTCTGCTGAGCTGCCTGCCCCTCCCCTTGCTACCTCCCGCAGAGACAGCGGTGGTGGGGAGACCGGAGACAGTGCTCATGGAGGGAGCTGGCTTAAAAGCTGGCTTCCCACAAACACCTCTGTGGAGCCACCTGCCCTGCCACTCTGTTAGAGGCACTAGTATGTGGGGGGGCAGGGAAGGCTGCTGTGGAGCAGCCTCTGTTCGCAGTGGGTTTAGGCTCACTGGACGGAGGCCGGTCTGCAGGATGACTGCACAGCCTTTCTCTGCGGAGAGCTCAGGCCCCCCCCACGGACGGGGCAGCTGCTGCTGCTGCCTTGTGCTGCTGCCTCTGTAGTGTGTCAACCAGTCTATGCGTGGAGCCAGTTTTAAGCTTGCTGAAGAAACTGAAATGAAAGAAATATTCTTGCTGCAACTGTTAGTGCAGTGCTACAAAAGCTGGTTTAGCACTTCAACAGGTCCTTATTTCAGGACCTTAGTGACTCCTTCCAATTTTGTAGCTGGACTTTCTTTAATATGTTTGCAGCAAATATGTATTGCTTAATATTATTTTTGCATTTTTTAAATTATGTTAATAGATTATAATAAGTTTAGGCCTAAACATGTAATTTTTAAATAAGTTTTTTGTAAATGTATTTAATTTACATTTTTTAAAAACTTGTATATACCTTTTAAAACATCCTTTTATATGAATGGAGATTGCCTATCTCCTAGAACTGGAAGGGACCTTGAAAGATCATTGAGTCCAGTCCCCTGCTTTCACAGCAGGACCAAGTACCATCCCTGACAGATTTTTGCCCCAAATGGCCTCCTCAAGGATTGAGCTCACAACCCTGGGTTTAGCAGGCCAATGCTCAAACCACTGAGCTATCCCTCCCCCTTTTGTTTTAAATGTGTTTTTACCCGTTCTGTCCTTTTTTGTTTTACTTATTGGCCTATTGTCTTGGAAACAAGACTAGATCCGGTAATCCTTACATTGTCTTTCTGAAATGAATATTACTGGCTATGCCTTTCACTCTATGTAATGTATATGTGACTTAGAACTGCAATCTTTGTAAAGTGTGTGTGAAAAACATATGTAACATTACCTTTTGTAAATCTAAACAGAACCACGATTTGGGACATTTTAGCTTTCGTAATATCATTTGTCCTTGTTCTTGCTAGAATGGAACTGTTTTTTCAAAACGTAAAGGAAGCCGGTCAGGACAAGATCGAGCACAATGGGTATGTACAATGTTACTTTTTTATACAGCATCCCTGTAAGTATGAATGAACTCTTACAGAATTACAAATTTTGGATCCACATGTGTTACCACTTCAGTCACTGGGAATTTTGTTGTTTTAAATGGAAGCTGCCATGATCTTACTGCCCTGAACATGACCATTAAAGGGGATTTCTGAGTGCTCAACTATCTCGGGATCAGGTCCCGTATGCTGTACATCTAGGCATCATTCCTGAAATGCCCCCGTTTCTAGAGGGGGATTTAGCCATTTTAGGCATGCCATCCAAATAACAACATAGTTTTGTTATAGGATGTGTAGAATAACTTGCAAGTTAGCAGCATGCAATGTAAACTGATTAGAACTGGGTGAAGATACTGACATAGAAACTAGAAATCTTTAATTTACTCTCTTTAAAAAGTGAATTCAGTGCTTGTGGAAGGTATCCATTTGATAGATTTGAACACTGAAGTCCTCTGTTTATCCCTAATATACATTTGGGCACACTAATGGGTGTGCTGTGCAAGCTTCTTCCCATTTCTGCCCCCATCTATAATATATTGGTTTCAAAGACTAATGAGACCTATTCAGTTGGAACTGTTTAAATTGTTCGTTCAGCTCTGTTTGACGCTTACTATAAGTGGTGCTTCAGGGCTCAGAGGGAAGTCATTTTCCATGTCTGCTCAATCCGTGGCCCCTTGTGCTGAGCACAGGTCACAGTTAGGGTCAATTGTGACAGTTTCATGATGTAAGCTTCCCTCCAGTCAGAATTGGACTAAGGCATATACTCATTTACATGAACCAGCCACTGATTATTTTTATAGTGTGTTCAGAGACATTTGGTAATAACTCTCTTATGTATTATGGTAGTACCTAATGGGGAGAAGAAAGCAGAAGAACTAGAAGGTTCCCTTCCACTGAATACCACTCTCTATCATAAGGATTAATCAGATGGAAAAAAGCCATTGGGAGGCCTTGCTCTCCATTTCTCTAGATGACTTTGAACCTTAAGAGAAAAGGTGCAGATTGGTAACTTGCTGTTTAAGAGCAGAAAAAATACAGATCTTAGTGGCGTCATTGTTAAAATGACAGATGACCAAACCGACTCATCCACCTTTATAGAAATAGTTTCTTTTAACTACAGTTTGTCATCCAGTGTATATGCTACAGTGCAGTAAGACTCTCAGTAGCCTTTACAAAGAATCAAAACATGAATATTTAAAAAGTTGATAGCAAATGTAGAATTATGCAATTATTTAGATTTTTTGTCCAGAGTCCTTCCCATTGCTGGTTAAATTTTCTAGCCATGTTCACCTTTCAAAAATCTGAGTAAGGTAAAAGATTACTTTTGTAGGTATTATATTTAAAAGTAACAAATGATTCATTTGTCAGATGAGCACAGTTACAAAGCATTTGAAGACGGTTGAAATTCCCTATTTTTGAAAGGGAAATGTTGTGGTTTTGGGGACCTTGATGGTTTTCTTTTTTTTGTCTTCTAGTCCTCAAGAAACTTTTCTACCTCTTAAGAAACATTTCTGCAGGATCTGGCTTTGTCTTTCCTTTTCTGCAGAAGTTCTGATCCACGCCTTTGTGTCCTTTCAAACTGAATACTGAAATGCTTTGCTTATTGGAATTCCAGCTTAATAGGCTGTAGCTGGGCACAATATCCCCATTTAAAATCTTTACTGGCAGATAGTTATGCTAGCTGTCGCTCTAGTTTCCTGTTAGTTGGTTATACCAACTTACAAAGCTCTTCACAAAAAAGGGGCACAGTCAGCTTTCTGAGCTCCTTACTCCAGAGGTTGGGGGCCGTAGTGCAGGTCTTATTACTACTTCATCAATATCAGGTAGGGCTGTCAATTGATGTGTGTTAGTGCCTGTGATTAACGCAGGGCAGGATTAATGCTGTCGCTCTAGTTTCCTGTTAGTTGGTTATACCAACTTACAAAGCTCTTCACAAAAAAGGGGCACAGTCAGCTTTCTGAGCTCCTTACTCCAGAGGTTGGGGGCCGTAGTGCAGGTCTTATTACTACTTCATCAATATCAGGTAGGGCTGTCAATTGATGTGTGTTAGTGCCTGTGATTAACGCAGGGCAGGATTAATGTGTTAAAAAATTAACGTGTTAGTCCTGCCCTGCGTTAATGCTGCGTTGCCTCTTCGAAGTGCATTAGGAGCCTGGGATCAGGTGGAATTAGCCAGAGCAGCACTTCAAACGGGGGCACAATGCGAAACCTGGGGTCAGCTGGTGCAGCCTGCGGTATTGCCCTGGGGGTGGCGTTTCCAAGGGACAGTGAGGCAGTTATCTGGGGATACCAGCTGCTCCTTGCAGCACTGCCCCTTTGAAACACCACCACTGCATTTCAAAGGGGCAGTGCACGCAATTAATTGTGATTAAATTTTTTAATCGCTTGACAGCCCTAATATCAAGATATATTTTGGGTGGCTGATTTTTTTTAGAGCTTAATCCTGCAGGCTGCTGAAGCTCAGACAAAGTTGTCATGCTTATACTTTGGTATTCAGAACCTGCGTAGAAAAGTGAGTTATGAACAAATCCCTATGCTGCATTTAACATCACACTGGTTATGGAGAAGAGTACATTCAGCATGGTAAGAATGCCCTGCCTGTGCCCTTTGGTTTCAATATAATCCTGCGCTTGCAAGTAATGTGCATAGTAGCCATTTTAAAGATGAGTAGTTGCTGCCAGCCTGGAGTAATGGCTACTCTGGTATGTTCAAGAGCTGTATTTGGGGAAAATTCAAAGTAGGGGCAGCTATGAGGATTATCCTCTTATATAAAAATATGTGATGATTCTAAGAACTGGCTTTTCTCATAACCAGCTACTGAGTGCTTCATGACAGGTACAGGACATGATGTTCTTTCAGCTCAACTGCCTGTGGGCATAGCTCTCTTGGAGCTTTTATGTTACGTTATCAGGTTGTTAGTAACAAAGCAGAGTACTCATCAGCTGTGCTAGTGTCTCATTTCTGTTGTTTCTCGGCTTTCATTTTGCAGGATAAAGCCTTAAATTATTTATCTTTCCTGAATACCTGAAACTGCTTGTCTATCCCCTGAAAACTCTTGTTTAGATGTAAATTTGAAATGCATTTCTAGAGCCCTGCAAATTTGTGGCTATCCACAGCTCATTTTTGCAGATGCGGATGCAGTTACAAATGTTGTATCTAGAATAGGGGTGTAAGTTTGTAACCGTTTAAATCAGGGCTACTCAACTTTGAAAGCCCGGGGGACCACAATGATTCTCTCAGCACATACCAAGGGCCGTAACTTAAGTAAATATATATGCAAATAGCTTCTTTCACACAGCGCTCTCAGCACCTCCCTGTGGACTAGAAACACTGACACCCGGTACCTGTCTGTTCCAGCCAGCCCGTGTGCTTGCATATTTCAGTGCTCACACCACCTGGGAAACACCTCGCTGTTGTGGAGTGTGTTCCCAGTGGAGGCCATGTTCAAAGAATACCACCTGCGGGCTGCATGTTGAGCTCTGGGTAAACCCAAACTGCCCTGTGGGCCACAAACAAATGGGCCGCGGGTCATATGTGGCCCACAAGCCGCATGTTGAGTAGCCCAGCTTTAAACAGTTAGCTAATAAGCACAAGCTTATCGGTTTCCATTACAGCTATGTGGCGGCTCCTGGCCTCGCTTCTGGGGAGCCAGTTGCTGCCCCACATTGCTGGCTCTGTATAAGAGCCCATAGAGCTGGGTGGCAGCCAGCTCCCTGGGAGCAGGGTTGGTAACTGGGAGATTGTGCATGTAAGCTGGCTCCTGGCACGCGCCTGTTCCGGCTGCTGGCCCTGCTCCTGGGGAGCTTTTTATTGCAGAGCGTGCAGCATTTAGCCGTGTAACCGCTAAGATTTAACAGTTACATTATTGACTGCTTCTTACATCCTAATTTAGAATCCTGCAAATTTGCAGCTATCCATGGCTCATTTTTGTGGATACAAAATTTTGTATCCACGCAGGGCTCTAATCCACGCATTTCTTCGGTGAAAAGTGACTACAAACATGACATTTTCCTTTCCCCACAGATTTACACCCTGTTACTCAGAAGCAGAGCTGCTCACTTTAATGCTGCTCTACCTTCCTAATAGTTGTGTTGGTGGCTCTGCAGAGCTCAGAGGGGGAACAGATTTAATCTCTTCCTGTAAAATGCCTAAAATCAATTATAAGCAGCAGACCCTGGCCTACAGAACATATGTTATCGGACACAATGTGTGAAAAGAAAGCCATAACTTGACATTCAAATGCAAGTTGAGTTTTCAGGGCTGATAGTTGGAGGCTGGGACTTGATTACCTGCATCCTGCTTCAAAGACCTTTTCACACCAAGAAACACTGGAGACATTCCACAGAGATTTCAACAACCTACACCCCACCATCAACCTCAGCCTGGACCATTCTACACGAGAGATCCATTTCCTGGACACCACAGTACAAATCAACAATGGAAAATTAGACACTACTCTCTACAGAAAACCCACTGACTCATACAGTTACCTACATGCTTCCAGCTCCCATCCAGAACACACCATACGATCCATCATCTATAGCCAAGCCCTTCGATACAATCGCATCTGCTCTAATCCCACTGACAGAGATCAGAAACTTCAGGATCTCTACCAAGCATTTATAAACCTTAACTACCCACCCGGAGAAATAAAAAAGCAAATTGAAAGAGCCAGACGAATACCTAGAAACCATCTACTTCAAGACAGACCCAAGAAAACCAACAATAGAACACCACTTGTCATCACCTACAGCCCCCAACTTAAACCTGTCCAACACATTATCAATAAACTACAGCCTATACTGGAACAGGATACCAAACTCCAAGAGGCTCTGGGAGACAGACCCATAGTCTCCTATAGACAACCACCTAACCTCAAAATGATTCTTACCAACAACCACAGGACATACCACACTAATACCAACCCTGGTACTTTCCCTTGCAACAAACCCCGTTGCCAGCTTTGTCCACATATTCACTCTGCTGATACCTTTATTGGGCCTAACCAAGTGAGTTATAAGATCAAGAACACATATTCCTGCGCATCCAGAAATATAATTTATGCTATCATGTGCCGAAAGTGTCCGTCTGCTATGTACATTGGACAAACGTCTCAGACACTTCGCCAAAGGATCAATGCCCACAAAACAGATATTAGACAGGATCACAAAGAAAAAACAGTTTCTTGCCATTTCAACCAGAAAGGACATTGTCTCAATGACTTAATTACCTGCATCCTGCTTCAAAAGCCTTTTAAAACTGCACTTGAAAGGGAATCCTCTGAACTGTTATTCATGCTAAAATTCGACACTTTGCGCGGGAGTCTCAACAAAGGCTCTATTTATCTTACCCATTACAAAGATAGCTTCCCCAATTATCACCTCTAATATCATTAGCTCACAGACATTTACCTCCCCTCTTCATCCCCCTTCTGTTCTGAAATTTGATTTGTCCTTTTCATGTGTGTTCATTTTTTTGATTGTATCCTTTGGCATATATGGTTGTGACAATTTTCTTCCACTATTTGATCTGAGGAAGTGGGTCTGGCCCACGAAAGCTCATCATCTAATTAACCATCTTGTTAGTCTTTAAAGTGCTACATAGTCCTGTTTTTTGCTCTTGACTGAATACATTTGATTTGGAATTATTGAGGTACAATACATACACTACGCTGCAATGACACTTGTACGGACACTTTTCAGAATAGAATTTCACATTTGTTGGTAGTTGATTTAATCTATCCTGCAGTGTTATATTAGGTTAACTTTTAATTGTACTCACAATACGATACATTGCTGTAAATGTGAGTTGACTTTTCATCTTCCATGGAGATATGAATTTGTGTAATTGAAAGAATACCTATGTGAATCAAGCTAGCAAATCGCCATCCTAGAGGCTGGATTGTCTTGCTTGAAGCATCTAGTCCTTACAGTGCTTTTTTTATACTTAAAAGCATCAGAGTGCTGTAGACCAAACAAAGAATGCGCTACATACATGCTTGCCTAAACAATGCACCTTTTGTGCCTATCAGAAACCATACAATTACAAAGAGCATACTTGATACAGGATTGATGGCATGAATTGTGCGTTTCTGTTTAACAGAGTGACTTAATGTGCTCTGGATAGTTTTGAAATCCACCTGCTAATTCCTCACTCCCAAAAATAAATATGCACAAATTCCTGATTAGATTTTTGCCTGTTCCACAGCAAAAAAACCCACTGTGAAATAGCACTACTATGAACATGTTTTATGATCAGAGATTGTTAGCTTCATTCTTCGGCTACATCTAGATTACATCCATCTGTCGACAGAAGGATGTAAATGAGCAGGGTTTGCCATGTGGCGGTGAGCCCCGCTTGCCAGACGCGCGGTTTTGCACGCTGCACATGCGCTGATTGTGCTGCAATGCCATGCTGGGCTAAAATCTACTCGCCACGGGAGAGTAGATTGCCCTACTTGTCGAGCCCTGTAAATAAGGCACTTCAAAAGTGCAAATGAAGCAGGGATTTAAATATACCACGCTTCATTTGCATAATTGCATCATGGCGCTCTTTTGAACAAGCGCTGTTTTCGAAAGAACTGCGTCTAGACCGCAGTTTTACTTTTGAAATGGCACTTGTTCGAAAGAGCGCCATGACGTGATTATGCAAATGAAGCATGGGATATTTAAATCCCCGCTTCATTTGCACTTTGAAAGTGCCTCATTTACATCCCTCTGTCAACCAGAGGGATGTAATCTAGAGGTAGCCTTCTTGTCAGTTTCATCATTTGTAAAATAAGAATATTTATATTTTGGTCATGTTTATGGGAATTAATTAGTTACTGCACGTACAGTGCTCTGAAGACCTAAAGTGGAGAGAACATGTTAATTGTTGTTACAGCATATAGTATCTTCCTGTGTAATAATAAACTCCTCTTCCTCCCTAATTTTTGTGACCATGTTGTAATATGACTAGCTCAGATGATTATATATACTTGTTGACTGGGATTTTTTTTTAAAGTAGTCTTGTAAATAATTTTAATTCCAATTCATATGGATGTCACAATTTGTGCTTTCAGGAAAATTACATATTTTTGTTGCTAATTTTAGAAGTGGAAAGGGCCAGTACTTTTCACTAAACCCAGAGTTTACTTTTCATTTTGCTGCTGTTTAAAGATTGTCTCAAAAGCTAGTCTAACCCCACGTTTTCCAGTAGAGGGCTCTGCTGCACTGCGAGAAATGCACTGGCCAGAAACACTGACCACAGAACATGAGCTTAGAGTTCTTGAAAATATATGGACATGAGAACTCCTATGCATTCACATAAGGACTACATCACATACATGCCATTGCACATAATGTATAGCCAGTAAAAAAAGGATTTTCCATCAACTAGTGGATCAATCAATAAGCGGGGAAGCCACAGCGGGGTTAGCTCCCAGGCTGGAGGGACCCAGTGTGAACCAGGAATCAGCTGTCAGTCCCTGCTACCCCTCTGTCCTCCCTGCCCCCCCCAGAGACAGTGCTGGGGGGAACAGGCTTTTAAGCTGTCTCCCTTTGCACTGGCTCCTGCCCTTGCTGCCTCTGGTAGTGGGAAAGATCATTTCCTAATGGATTCATAATTTTAAAATGTAAACTTTTACATATTTATAAGGTGATCTGATTCCTATTTTTTGCTCTTCCAAACAGCACGTGATTAAGAAATTCCTTGGTTTAGTGTCCAGTCACAATGTACCAGTGTATCTCATTGATCCTTTGGTTCTGGGACTAATTCATAAAGACTTTGAACAGCTCAGCAGCTCTTCTGATGGCGTGAGCCCAGAATGCAAGTATTTCTGTGCTCCAAGGGACTTCACTACCTTTGCACTACTGGACAAAACATGGAAACATGAAGTAAGGTTTTCTCCTTGTTCATTTTTGTCTAGTGTGATGCACTCAGTCATTATAGGATTGATGGTTGATCAGAACACACACATTAAACATGTACAGGTTTAAAGTTTGTTAGGTAAAACTGGTCTAAAGGTGGTGTTTCACCTAGAATTTTTTTTGTTTAAGAAACCTCTTGAGGTAAAGTGCAGTCATGAAACAGTCTGTTCAAAGTAGAAGGCATGTGGCAGGGAAGTCCCCTGAGATAGACTACTAGCACTATGGAGGGAGCTCAAGTAAAATGATTTAAAGGCTGTCTCAGTGAATTGAGAATCCATCATGTAGCCCAGAGAGAGTTGAGGTGAAAGAGAAATAGAAACTTAGCATGTGTATAGCTATAGTAAATTTTTAGTATCCATTGCAGAAGCAGAGATGTTAATGTCCATTTATGATTGTTTCATAATATACAGCAGCCACACACTGATGTATGTTTGTTACCTTGCCATTTATTGTTTCTTATGAGATTTTAATTAAACTCATGACAAAAAGCACCCCTGCCATTTCCACGTTATTGTTTTCCCCTTTCATCAAGTAATGGGCCTACCCTGTCCTTGCTTCTAATGTATTTGTGGAATGTTTTCTTCTTATTCTTTATGTCTCTTGCTAATTTGATCTCATTTTGTAATTTTATCCCTACATACTTGTCTTATTTGTTTATATTCATCCTTTGTAATTTGACCTGCTGTCTACTTTTTTGGTAGGGCTTTTGCGCTTTTTTTTTAATAATTGAAAATCTCCTAGTTAAGACAGGGTGATCTCTTGCTATATTTCCTATCTTTCCTATACAATGAGATAATTTGCTCTTGAGCCCTTATAGTGTGTTTGGAAAACTGCCAACTTTCTTGAACTTTTTTTCCTCTAAGGCTTGTTTCACATGAGATCTTACCAACCAACTCCTGAGCTTGCTAAAGTCTGCTTTTGTGACATCCATTGTTTTATTTGGCTATTCCCTCCTACATTGCCTTAGAATCACAAACTCTGTCTTTTGGTGATTGCTTTCACCCAAGCTTCCTTCCACTTTCAAATTCTCAACCAGATCCTCCCTATTTGTCAAAATCAAATCTAAACTGTCGCTTTCTTCACCTTCTAAATTAAAATAAAAAAAATCTCCAATACAGTTGAAGAACTTGTTGGATAATAATCTGTGCCCTGCTTGATTATTTTCCCATGTTAAGTCCCACATACTACCAGTCCTATGCTGATGGGAGAGCTTCTCCTCTTGACATAGTTAACCTCCCTCTGCAAGAGGCAGTATGTATATCAGCAGGAGAAGCCCTCCCTATGCTGAGAGCTAGGTCAGTATAACTGCATCTCTTGTGGGGGGTGGACTTTTTACACTTCTGAGTGACATAGTTACATTGAAGCACATAGTGTAAGCCTGGCCTTAAATGTTCATGTAGACAAACCCTATGTGTGGAAGAGGTTTCGGATCCCAGTTTGTGTTAGGGATGTAAAAATTTTAAAAAACAGACAACAACCCAGTAACCATGTAAAGGATAGAAATTCAATCAGCTACACGATTAAATGCTTTGTGGGCTGCCAGTGGTTGCCAGACCCGCAGGCTCCCAGCATTGCTGGACCCCGTGGGCTCCCGGTGTCTGCTAGCTCTGCCGGCCTTGCAGGACTCCTGGTGGCTGTTGAACCTGTGTTGGCCCCATCAGCCTTGCAGCTGTTGGCCCCATCAGCCTTGCAGGCTCCAAAAGGCTACTGGACTTGTAGACAGTTATTGCCGCAGGCTCTGCGGGCTTCTTGTGGTGGTCGGAAGCTTAACTAGTATGCTTAACCAACAAGCTAATGCTTGTCGGTTAACTGTTAAACTCTTACATACCTAGTTCGTATTGTATGATTATAGGGCCATGGTGTCCAACCAGTTCTGAAGCAGTAGCCATTATAGTGGCTATGCTATAGTGAACTAGCCACATTATTCTGCAAAT